CTTTACCTACAAATTTTTGTTTCTGTTTGTCATTGTAAATAATTCCCACACAATTCAAACATATAACTACCTTCGTCAAAAAGTAGGTTTTGCTTTACGCAGTTGATGTATAAAACGAGACGGTAAATTAATAGTTGAAATACTGTTTTTTTATTCAAAAATATATTGTAAAACTCTAAAAATTGTGCAAAAATCTCCTAACTTGGCATGTTGAAAATCGTTAATCAATCATTAAAATCTTTACTGTTTCCAAGTCTCGTAAACAAATTAACATAGAAAAATAAATAACTTAAACGCGCAAATGCACACATACGAGTATAATTTGTGGTGATACATAATGATCAAAAGAATTTAAAACACGATTCTAATAAAGAGGGTTAGATGTGAAAAAACATTTATGAATTTATTTCTCTTTTATTTTGATTGATCTATGATATTTCTTATTAATAATGCATGTTAATTGTAGGTCTTTTATCTTCTTGCTACGGAGATGGGTCAAATTCAAGATCAATAGACGTGCAATCAGTAAGTGAAGAAAACAAACTCTTATGAAGTTAATTATTATATTATTACTACTTTCATGTTCCAATTTCTAATAATATATATTTATTACCTTGCAACTCTATGCAATATTTACGGTATGCAATTACTCCAATGTAACTTATGCAATGAAATCGTTAAAAAGTAGTGTAAATCAGAACGAAAGCATGAGAAATTGTTCTTTCATAAATATTTTATACAATTTATTGCAAAACAAAAATTGCAGTTTTTTTTAATTTGAAATATAACGTTCATTCATCATACATTCATATACAATAAAAGTTATAGCGATTTTTTTGGAAAATAAATTTGTATTTATTATTGCAAGCAGAAGCATTGATTTTGAAAATCTAGCAAAATGTAGTTGTTAAAAAATATAAATTAGGAATTAATCTTTCCTTTGAAATATATTTTTTAATGCACTTTCGATAAATTATATTTAATTTTTATAGATGACAAGTGCGGGATGGCGTCCTATTCAGTCAGATTTGTCTGAAGGATTCAACATTCCGCGATCGCATCACCACCAGTTGATATCATTATCCCAAATAAAAAATGCAGATAAAAACCAATTAGCACAAATTGCGAGGCACAATGCTCAGGTGCTGCGGCAAATTAATCGCAAAACCCCAAATGTACAACATTCTCCTAACTACTCAGGTATTAAATACAACCACATAAAAACGCAGAAGCAACCGTTACAAAAGCCAGTTTTGGTTTACGGCAACGTACAGCAGACTCCTTCCGCGCAACAGCACCCAGTATTGGGTAAGTTACAAGCCCATTTAGCATTAGCACAACGAAGGCCTGCGGCGCCAACTGCAGATACACCAAAAGCGTCGCCTAGTCAAAAAGAAGAATCCTATGTTTTGCCAGGTCTTGGTTTCACGATAGACCAGTCTCAAAACACAGTGTTTTCTTTAGACGATGAATACACTAGACATTTAGTACCTCCTGCGCCACCAAGGTACAACAAGCATCAAGATGGCTCGATTTACCGCGGACACGTTAGTGCAAAGATTCCAGAACCAATCATCTACCAGCCAGGCTCCCTCCATCATACTATAAAATATAACATTGTGCCTGCTCAGCAACAAAAGTATAAATATGAAGGCGTTCTACATTCACTGCCAGAAACGACACCGTTGCCGGATCGTTTGTTGGTTCAGCAACAGCCATCAAGTCATATACAATATCTTGGACATCCTTTCGCATTCACAACAGAACCTGAGTTAAGAGGTCCTGTTACATTTTACTCTGAACGGCAGCCGGATATAGTAATAACAGCAGCTGGAAATAGTGGTGTATTTCGACCTCAGCAAGAAACTATATATGGAAAACATCACATAACACCGGATACCACCTTACCTCCACCAACACCAACTAGAATATCTAATTTCGGTTCACCTTTAGGAGGATTTCAGCCTGGCTTCAACATATTTAATTCAGCAAAAGATTTCTATTATGCTCATGATCCGAGTGAACCTAGCCCGAATTTTCATTCTACCGTCGCTGCTGTTACAGAGCCGCAAGTTATTACGTGGACAGTAAATGCAACTACAAAAGAACCATCTAGGCCGAGAGAGCCTGATTTCATACATAATCCTGTAAATAAATACAACCACAACCACAAATATACAAATATGTTACGATCTACTACGAGGCCAAGTATTTTCAGCTTTGAAGATCCTGATGAGAAGCCGTTTTTGCCAACGCCGATTGCAGCACAAGATATTGAGTTGAAAAAACCGCAAGAAATAGTTAAGACCCAAACTGTAAAGTCTATAGAATTAGAATTATTCACAAGACGGCCTGTCTCCACGACAGTGCAAACGCTATACCATGAGTACACTCCAAGCCCTACAGCTTTAGCAAACGAAGTTCAAAACAACGATATGCAAATTGGCGAATACGCAACTATTGCTCCAACACCGCGTACAAAAACTAAACATCGAAGGCGCAGACCACGACCACCAACGACTACAGCTGCTACCGATAAGATACAACCAGTTAAAGATTTCATAAAACATAGAACTCGGGAGAAGTTTCCACCAAGAAGCCGATTCCCTACACCTTTAACAACTCTTCCAAGTTATACTATTAACGAAAATCTTTCAAGTGATACTCAGGAGCAACAATCCGTCGCAGACAGTACTAAAATCTCTTACACGAAGCAATCCTTTGTTAAAGATGAACCAAAATTGGCAATAAATACAATTGTACCTTTGTTAACTACAAAATATGAAGAAGTACGTGATGCAACGACAATTGACGCAGTTGCAACGCAAATTTCAATCATATCGGAAGAACCCAAAAAAGATCCAAGCACTGATGCTGTTCAAACTTATGAATCCATAACAGATTTCTTCCCCACAACTTTGCCAACTACTATTACAAATACACGCAGCAAAATCAGGTACACTGTTCCCGATGTCATAATAGAAAAACAAAACACAGTAGAACCTAACACAATAAAAGAAGATAATATTAATCCGACAGAAATTAACAATATTATTTATAACATATCGACGGAAGCGACAACAGTAAAGCCACTTCGAACGAGACCTGTAGCAAATAAATTTGATACTTGGACTAGGCCCAGATTTAGCATCAAAGACCATAAACGACTAAATACACATTCCTCATCTACAACCGTAGCACCAATTGTTCATAGCACCGTAACGAGCAAACTGCGATTCCCGTCAAGGCAACGAGTAAAAGTTTCGCCAAGACCCGTCATTTTTAGCCAGGACAAAAGCAACGATAGAGCAGTGCCTACTCCTACGGAGATCGTAACAAAAGTTCAGGACAATCGTTTTATAAACGCACCGAAACTTACTGAATTAGATGCAGTTACTACAACTGAACAACCAAGAAAGAAATTTACACCTAAAGATCCGCGGCATAGAGGTGATATAAAACGCGGAAACCAGCGTAAAACATTTAACAGAGTGACGAGCACAACTGAAATAAGTTTATCGACGCCAAAGCCAGCAGTCAGCAGAAACATCAGTTCAGCACTGAGACGGCCACATCCTAGTATTCGTACACGGTTCCCAATCAAACCCTTAAGAGAAGAAATAACCACCACCGAAGGACCTGAGCTTACGACTCTCATTGAGACTCCTTTAATACCGGATTCAAAATTCGAAGTAACCACGGCAAGCAACAAAGCCGAAACTTCAATAATGAAAATTGCAAACACTAAATTCAAAACAACGTCTAATCCTGTATCAGGTAATGAAATGACCTCGCCTTCAGATCAGTCAAAAAGAGTCTCAGAGTTGACTTTGTCAGCAAGCATGGATTACAATAATCCTGGAATATTTAAATCTATTTCAACAAGTAGTAGGCGCGTACCTGGATATTTCACAATTGCAACAGAAGATCCCATACTGCCTATAGAGGCTTTCTTTCCAAAAATCAAAAATTTTGACGATGAAAAATAGATAGGCATTTAACAAACATTCATTTATTCAGTCGTAATGGGCTTCTTACACAATGAAATAAATCCCTCTTGGATAATAAAAAGTATTAAATACAAAATATCATGATAGTATAGAAATATGTATGTCTAATGGATGATATGTTGTATAAATTGGCGAAAGCCTTTTAAACTACTTTATATAGTGTGTGAAGCCTGTTAAATCATATATAATCATATATTTAATTCATTTTATTATAATTTATTTAAACTGAATAATTTATTTCGCTCTTTAGTATTATTTATATTATTAAAATCTTGATGTTTTAGTAAAATAAGCAATAAATTAATTTATGTTTAATATAAGCAGCTATATCTTATAATTTGTGTATAATTATTATGTAAGTATCATATAGTTATTATATGTTTAATTTACGATAGGGATATGTATATTACTATGCCTTAGTTGAATACCAAACAAAACAATTTTGTAAGACTTAATTTGAATAAAAATAAATGTTTATAAATAAATCACTCGTTTAAACCATCACAAGAAATTGTGTAAACTTTCTACTTCATCTGAAACACCCTGTATTTAAAATCGAGGGAATATATCGTCGGCGTAGAATAATATATGAAACTACATTCTAACAAATAATCTTAATAAAATGATGAAATCAATGTTATTTTCTGTATTAAGTCAATGACCAAATAAAAATGTAAGTGATCAACAACTATAGGACTTTGTAGCACAATTAAAAATGTACAATAATGCGTAATATTACTGCAATTTCATTAGTGAAATTTTGTTTGAAATATTTACTATAAAAAAACAGAATAATTTCGATGGCTTAATAAAGCCAAAAATCAGATAAGAAAGAATTTAATAAGTATAAGGTGTGAACGACATTAATCCGTAATGTTAAATATAATTAAATAAAACTTGATTTGTTTACAAATATTATTTAATAAAATATCACACATCTTGCACAAATAATAAATTATTAAAATTAATAGCACATGTGACACACTCTCACCATATACAAGTAATATTTTTTACTACTTATCCGTATCTTTTAGATTATCTTGAATGTCTTTAATTCGCGACTGAATTTCCGGCGCTTTGTCTGAGATTATCTTTGGCGTAATATCTTCGGCAACGGTTTTTGCCAATTTCTTGTATATGCCCTCAAGATTATGTTCTGAAATCGTAGAACTTGTTGTAGCCCACATTTAATAGCACTTGCGTTTGGTATGTTTAGTCATGTATAAAACTATATTTTAATGAGCAATGCAAAAATAATTACAATGATAATATTAAGGTGAATTAATAAGAACATGAAATTAATTATATAAAGACTAATTTATTCACAAATGTCCATGATTGCTATCGATCACTTTGAATTAAAACAGTCTTGACGGTGATATTAAGCATACGCACTTACAACAATCAAACTGACTTCCTTGAAATTTATTAATGAATATATGTTTTTATATCGGTCTAATGATATTCTATAAAAACCCTTTGAATATGGTTGATAAAAAATCATACGGTAAAATATCTGTATTCAATTTTTAGTTATATATACGAATTTAATTATATGAATATTAATAGCGTTTACCCATATGTTTCAACTTATAAAGTTAACTGCAATCATCTGATCAATCACCACATCATTTACCGCAAAACTTCAGTAGTAAACAAAATAAAATTTCAAATTCTAGTTGTTTAACTTACTTAAAAAAAGCAATTTGAATAAAAGAAAGTAAATATGAATAATTAATAAAAAAAAATCTGACCTTTAACTTTCATAATCATTGTTTGTATAATTCCCAAGGCTTCTTTCTTTATACTTGTGAAGGATATATCTAAAATATCAAATAATATATAAGATATAAATCTAATTTTTTTTTTTTTTTATATTTCATATCCATACCTAATGCATATAAAATTATTGAAATCATTTTGTCAACTACTTGTTGCACATGATCTTGGGAAACCATATTGGAGTTCTCAACTAGAATCAATTTATTGGTATACTTGTTCATTGCTATCATTATTTGTAGTTGAATATTTCTAGTGTTCATTTTTAAGCAGTCAGAGCAAATATCCAAAAATTGAGTTCTGTATTTATCTAAAACATTTAAAAAAATACTTTTATTAAGTTGGCTATTATATTAAAATAAAATTTACTTGTTTACCTTGAGTTTCAAAATTACTTGGCCAGGCTTTTCCAAAACTTTCCCAAATAACTTCTTTGAGAGCCAAGTAATTTTTCCTACTTTCAGCTTTTTCAGTTATATCTTCACTGTCCATTTCCATACTTGCGACATCCTATTATTTTATATGAAATATATAGTAATATGAAACAAAATTGATAATTTGAAGAAAAAATTGCATATTAATAGAAATAACAAACCATTTTTAATAAATCTGAAAATGCTGTGTGAAATTCCTCAAACCTATCCTCCTCATCAAATGCTTCTAACAAATTTCCTAAAGCCATAATTGCAAATTTTCTATAAATTGGTTCCTTTTTACGACATTCTCGAAAAATAGCATCAAAAATGGCACTTTTGTTTATTGAAGTATTTTTGTCAGCACATCTATAAATGAAATAAAAAAATGTATTAGTAATATTCATCAATTAAAAAAACTGAATACAAGTGACATAAATTGATCGATTCTTTGACAAGAATGGAAGAATTAAATGTAGATATCCATATACCACATATTACTCTATTAAATGTATTTATTTAGTCATTTCAACTGGGTTCGAGTGGCATATTGCCTTCAGGCAAGTTGCATGCGAATAAGATATCAATATATGAATTTGTGTGCTTACAAAGGTAAATTTTATAATTAAACCACACTCTTGAAGTATACATATAATCAGTAGTGTTGTGCTAATATTTTTTTTTGCCGGAACGCTAAAACTACAAAAAACTTATTAAATCACTTTCTGTATGTAGCGATTTTTTTAACTTCCCATATGGCAAGTTCTAGTAATCACAAAAAAATCGAAAATGAAAATTTTTATCTCTCTACGTTTCAAAACCTTCTGAACATTTTGGCATACCTTAGAAAAAATAGATGTATGTGTGTGTGTGCGTGTGCATGTATGTGTGTGTTCGGATACAAATTTTCGACCATAACGACGTTCCGGCGCGTGCCAGCTCGACAACACCACTGCAAATAATATTTTAATATGTCCAGAAACTAGGAGCTCTAACGCCATACAAAGTTTCATTAAAATCGCAAACAGATTTGTAAAGACGTATCAGGAGTTTTGGCGTGAGCGAAAATTTTTGCACTTTTGTGCTAATTGCTATGAAACGGCGAATGTCGCACAAAACTTATGAACGCGAATCCCTATCGAGCTACATCGAATGTCTTTTAAATGTTTGAAATTGGTGCAGTTTTGAATTTGATTTAAGAAAACGTGGACAAGAAGGTCATAAATCGGCTTACACGCGCACACATACTTTTTTTAAATTTTGTTTCGAACGATTCAAAATGATAAAATGTAGAGAAAATATAAAACTAGCAAGTCGGATTTTTTCGTGAAAAGAATCTTCTCCTTCGCAAAGTTAAAAAGTTATATTATTTACAATATAACTCACTTGCATATGTCGACAACAGCCGCAAGAAGATGTTGTTTACCGCTCCATGTTCTACCAGAAAGCCCACTTAATAAAATGTCTAATATACCAATACGTTCTTCTTCTGATAACGAAGATCCAACCTTTTTAGCTACAGTAGATACCGCATTTGCCGCCTAAAAATATACATTGAAATGTGAAAACAATAGGTATTTGTTTAATTCTACATTCTTTGATTATCAGTAGTTTAATAAACTGACCTGAGCTTTCATTGACCAATGTTGAGATTCCAGTTCTACTTTGAGAATATTCATTATAGGCTTAATATGATTCTTAACATCAGAGTCACCAGATGTTACGTCATTCCAGATATTGTTCCACATTTCAACAGTTTTAGCATTCTCTAAACAACATAACACCATTATTTCACTCACATTTTTTAAAATTAACTGCATGTTGATAGGATTATGATACCACAACATACCTTCATTTTTATCTTCATGCATGGCAAAGAACACTAATGGAATAACTTTTTCTGAGTAAGTTCTTAACACATCGGGTTCACTTTGGTTAATAGATAAAATTGTTCGAGCTATTGCTGCTCGCTTATTCACTTTATTTGAAAAGTAAGATTTCCAAAGTTTGTCAAACAGCTTTTGCAACGAGGTTTCCTAAGAGAAAATTGAAATAATGAAAGATTTACTCAATTCTCAATATATTACAGAGAAATATATTTAACCCTTAGATGAAATACATCGCCATAAAAAATTGTCAACAGATAGAAGTTTTAGACCTAAACAAGTGATTGGTATCTGATAAAAAAATTACAAGTTTTGTAAAAATAAACAATAAAATAACATTCTAACTATGCGCATGTAGCATTTTATTTTAAGGCAATTTGCATGAATGTTCCGATAAGTGTAAATAATCCACTTAAAAAGAATAGAGATTTAGATACAAATTTTAAAATAACTTTTATTTTCACTAAAAACTAATCAACGCGATTTCCAATTGACATCTTTCAAACATACTTTGCATTAATTTAGCCATCTTCAAATCGCGGCTCATTATTCCAAATTTTAATGAATTTGTATAATTTAACCACTTCCTCGTAAAATTACAATATTTTACTACGTTCGTTTAGTAGATTATAAACACTATCTCCATATCAAGTTTCTAATATTTTAATATGTTTTTTAGAATCGTTATCGAGGTACTTTTGAAATCGGTTTTTTAGAAATTGCCGACGAAAAGTTAAAAATCGGCTCACATACAAAAACACACACATACTTTTTCCTAATTTCAAAACAATTCAGAATGACTTGAAACGTCGAGAAAACATGAAAATTAGCGATTATTCTTGTCGAAAAAAAAATTTTTTTTCAGGAAGTTGAAAATAATCCACATATTGGAATAAATAAAAGTATTCAATGATAATACCAAATAAATAAAGAATAATGTAGTGGCTATATAGAGTTTACCGATGCTACTCCCACCATATGCCCGATAGCTTCAGCATGACTCCGTTTCACAGCGGCGTTTCGATCAGCAAGACCACTGAGTAAGGTGGAAAATATTTTATCCATAAGTGATTTGTCAAAACTTTTAACTTCGACTCGTTTTACACTAACAATGATGTTTAGATAATGAGCGCAGGCTACTTTCGTTCCAAGCACCACCGAATTACGCATCAGATCCACCACATAAGGTGTAGTGTTTTGCAAAGCTTCTAGGTCCATAAACTCTATGCACTGAAATAGATAAAATCCTTCAATTGTTTTCAGATCTCTCATTATATTATCAATTCATAAAATAAATTATTAAAACCTTGGACATGGTCTTGGTAGCAGCATGACCTTTAGCAGCATCAGCTCTAGCACAATCAAGGGCCTCTTGAGCCTCTTGCCTGGCTCCCCACATAGTACTCAATTGATTCAAATAAGCCGATTCCAATTCTCCAGTAGCCTGCAGCAATGCTGGTATCAACCGCAACATATGAGGTTTAAGCATTGGTCCAGAACACTGAACAAGCTCACTGATTGTACTTAAACTATATTAAAAAATAAAATCAATAACTGGCAATTAATTAGAATTAAATATAATCTTTAGTTGAATGAAATAAAAGTTTGGCATCAAAGAGAAAAGAAAATAATATGTAATATGTATGTAATTTAACATTTAACTGTCATCAAATGTAATATTATCATTTTGTTTATTAATTGGTGTACTATTGGTGTACTACTTATGATCTAACCTTATATTACGAATTTCCTTCACAGTATGCGTAATTCCCTTATCTAGCAAAACTGGTAGGAATGTTGAAGCAAGTGCTATTCCAGCTTTACTATCACCATCACTTTTACAGGCTAATACACAAATCTAAAAATATAAATCCATTATGTCATTAAATAATGTTTAACTATATTATATCCTATCAAAGTGATACAAAATTAAAGCAAGATACATAATTTCTTTGGTAAATGGCAAATATAATAATACGCAGGATCTTTAGCATGAAAAGATGAAAGTGTATATAAGTACAACATTAAATTCTCAACTGAAAGATATACCTTGCTTAATGTTTTGGTAGTATTTTCAGCAGTATTTCTTGTGGCTTCGTGAAAATCATCCATAACTCTGAATAAATTTGTCCACATCTGCTCAACTTGCTCATTGCTGGGTAGCGGATGCGACCTGAGTATATCAGAGAGTGCTAAGCAACATGACATTCGTACTCTCCATTGATGATGTGTTATATTTGACAGTAAATCAGCTATAATCTCATTATGAAACTGGGATATCTGTAATAATAAATTCTCATTTAAACATGGATGTCTTTGCATAAACAAAAAGCCTTCGACACTTTCAGCATATATTTTCCTAAAGATAAATGTAGCATTCATTAAACTTCTAGAAGTGATATTGGAGTTTAAATTATAAAAGAAATATGTGTTTTTTGACTTAATTTCTAAATAGATAACTAAAATTTAAAATACTTGTATATATGTTAAAGACTTTTCAAGCCAAATTAATTTAAATTTGTAAATATTAAAGTTATAAGTTGAATTTATATTTATTATGCATGAATTAATTTAAAAAAAAGCATAATTCCATGCATAATTTACATGTTATTCGGAGAAAAAAAGTGAAGGTTTGATAACAAACATAACAATTTTATTATCCATAAATTTCCGGTAACATTTCTAATTTGGCGCCTATAAGAACTTTATGTATAAAGTAAATAAAAATAAAGTTAACAATAAATAATTTTAGTTTTTAGCTCTATCTTTAAAAATGTTTAAAGTATTCTTATGTATTCAACTTACTGTGCTCTTATTATCTTGAACTATGGCATTCCAAATCGAGCTCATAGAATTTTGAATCTTTGGAATAGGATCAAACTTATATCTATACAATCTAGATATGATTTTTGGTAAATAAACTTGTATCTCTTGCTGAGCTAATTTAGCGATTGATTGAATACCAAATGCAGCACCAAGTTTACTGTTCCAATTAGCATTATGATTGGCCAGTTGCATAAATTTGTATATTAAATCAGGCTGATTTAGATCCGAAGCTAAAGAACACAATTCTTTATATGTTGACAAATTTCCTCTAAAAATAAAACAATAAACACCATATACATGATTCCATATTCCATGATTTGTGGCAATAACTTACCCCGTTGGAGACTTTCCCAAACTGCCTTCTTCATAAACTGTTGTATCACTAGTGACTTGTTTCACATTTCTACTACCCCCTGATAACTGTTCCAACAATGTTATTGCAAGTTGTTTTTGCTGATCAGAATCTGTATTCAAATACACTAAGCCCAAACCACTGGATGCTGAGTCTTGAACTATATCTAATAAATAATGATTTACATCAGCCTTTGTAAACATTCAAACAAAACTTCATTGTTGAATACTTTAACTTCATTGAGTGATTTAAAATACAAATCAATATAAAATTCATTTATATATTTTTATTTGTATATTACTAATTATAGCCAGTTGTAAGTAACATTTTGCCTTAGGGCAAGTTATATGAACTTCCCGATACATATACATAATCAACTTAATAATAATTGATATTCAGCTTAAGTAAAATGTTTAACCGTTGTTTTGAAAATTGTTAATGTTATTTGTAATTGTCTTCGAAATATAATATCTGTAATTGTGAAAGTTAAATTAATTTGTTTAACAAATTTCATTTCATCTATTTCGAGTTCTAAAAATGTATTTTATTAAAATGTGGACGTCAACCATGATCAGTAGCTGCTTACGAAACAAGAAAGAATTTACAAATCTACGGCGAAAATCTAAACATTGATAAATTTTTATGACTTAATAACTTATCGTAGCCCTATAATATATAAGTATGTTATTTCAGACAATGAAATCTATCCTTATACAAAGTTTCATCAATATCATCAAAAAAATGTTTAACGATTAATTACGAAGAAACGGCCCGACCGATTTTTAGCAAAAACCGAGTTCAAATAGTTTTAGAATTTTCAAAATCAATTCTTAATTGTAGACTAAAACGTGGACAAAAAATTTTACACCTTTATGCCGAATACAAAGAAACGACTCGGCTGGTCATAGTAGAAAACGAACAAACGCTAGTCCTTAACAAGCTACATCGATTGGCTTTTAAATTTTTGAAATTCGGTTCAGCCGTTTTTGAGAAAATGTCGACAAAAGATCAAAGATCTACTCACGTGCACACACACACATATATTTAACAAATCTTGACACATTCAATTCAGAATGACTTGAAACGTCGAGAAAACAAAATTAGCAAACCAGATTTTTTCGCGGAATAATAACTTCTCCTTCAAGAAGTTAAAAAACTGTAATATGATCATAAGTATTCTGAATAGCACTCACCATTTTCTTCAGAAAGTAAATCGATAAATGCAGACTGTATTGCATATAATTGTTTCTTAACCATTGGATGTGTTGAACAATTTTTGACAATAGCTAATAACCATATTGCACATGCCTAAAACAGAAGCAAAAAAATGAAACAATTTTAACTGAAGACTCAAGAAATAAAATGATATTTTGCTAAATAAATGATTCACTATTATGATAAAAGATTGTTCAATTAATATTATAATGCCTGAAACACACAAAGGTGCAAATATAATAGTCAATTGCCATAATTGGTGTACCTGTCTTGAGTTCGGATGTACAGATTTAACGTTTGAAAGTAAATATTCTAAGACATATTCACAATTATCATTTGATGAATCATCCATAGAAATAGAGGGTTCCAATTTATCACTCGACCATACATCCTTTGCTTCTGGAGAATTCGTACCCAATATGCAACAAACGATACTCTTGCTAATGCTCAAATGCATGTCCACATCTTTTGTCTGAAGAAAAAATAATAATCAGAATTAAATAACTTTAAAAACAATTGATTATTAGTATTTAGTTGTTTATGCATAATTTTTACATATATGGGTATAAATATTTTTCTATTGAAATAAGTTGTTCAGCCAACGGTTTGAATAAATAAAATCAAAATATCTTCATATTTTTATAACAATATTATTTTCCAAAAATCAGTGTTATTAAATATAGAATCTATATTATAGATGGATACTTATTAAAAACAATTAAAAATTACATAACTGTGAATTAAATAAAGTAAATTATAATCAAGAGTAAATAAGCTTTATACATACATACTTATTAAAATCAATTTTAAATTCAAAGACAATTAAGCAAAAGACCACATTTTCTATTTCAGGCAAATATTCTATTTTGTATTCTATTCTATACAAATTAAAAAATTCTATTTATTCTACTTTTTAATAAAATATGATTTTAGAAAACAGAGGATGTTTATCGATTAATACTTAGTTTATTCACTTTTTTTTATGTGTTATTCATACATTAAAATCCGATATTCAAAACCGGTTTCAGAATTTCATAATTTTCACCAAGAAAAACGGTTTTTAAAAATTATTATTTAGTTATGACAAAATAATAATTAATCATATTACAAAAACATACCTCTTTCAAATAACCCATGAATCCTTCAAGTATATTTCTGGTCCAAGGAAACTTCTCTCCGGTACAAATATGGCCCAAACAAAATATTGCTTTTTCTCTAACTGTAATCAGTTTTATTTTATTTTTAATATTAGTATCATTCAAGTATTAATATTAATACAATGTATCAAAGAATCTCAAAAAGGGAAAAATAACTGAGCACTTGATAATGATCCTAATTCACATCATAATCTTAATATTTATATCAAATATTTTTTAATATTTACTCACTTGTGCTTTTTAATGAAGAATCATACATAAGTATGAATAATTTCCTAACTAATATTGCTTTATCATTGATTTCTTTGAAATCAGTGTCTTTAAAGTTTCCTATTTCACTTCCATTTGGCATAGGAAGTTCACTGCAACGAGAAATCAAACTTATACCTACACAAGCTGCTTCAATAATCATTGGTTTAGAGGACATAACATGTTGTAACAATGCATTTACTGCAATTGTATAAGTATTGCTTTCAATCAGTTTACTAGAATCCCTTTTTGAAATTTGTATTCTACGTTCACATGCATTGCTAAATGCTAATATCAGCCCATGTTTGTTTTCATCAGATATGTTAGCTGATTTTGATTGCGTTATCATAGACTGAATTTCTTTTTCAAATTCAAATGCTTTCATAGTGGTACAGAGCATGCCATACAATTTGGCAGCTGAATCCCTTTTCTCACGTGAAGTATCATGCAAAAGTGATTGCAGTAATGGTAATAAATCCATATGTTCTGTAGCCATGCTTTGTACGCAACCCAATATGTCTATCATGCATGAGATTTCAGTTTCACCTAGAATTTTTTAGAAATATATATATAATATATTATTTTATATACATGCATATATAAACTTCACTGTATCTAGCGATACAAAAATATAACTAAATTGAACTCATCTTCTGCAATAATACCACTTATCATATGCGATTTTTGAACAGCCATAAAAAAAGAAAAACAATATTTTTACTACTAATTTTTTATAAGTTATTATTTAATGTTTAAAGAATACAGCAAAAAATTGAAAGTAACAAACAGTCAAACAATTTTAATTGCAGCAGATGAGGAAAGTCTCAAAAAAAAGTGGCATATACACCCTTGATTACCCGTGAGTGCAATAGATTTTAAAATTAGACACAAGATTCAAAAACATAAAATAAACAGTGAAAAAGTAAAATATGTACAAAAGAAAAGCAAAAAAAACTGTGCTTTTACCCCATTGAACTATCATCTATTATAACATATGTTATTTCAATAATAACTAAAGAAAAATATCTTTAATAAATTGAAAGAAAAAATATACATTTATCAAAAATATATTTAAAAATCAGACAAAAAAATGATTAAACTTCTATAAATGCATCATATTTTCGCATTGCTAAGTTACCATACCTCACCTTTGGATACCAGAAGTAATTCTTTTAGTAAGTTTATATATTTTTTAACTGAGGCAAAAGTAGGGTCTTGTTGAATATATGTTGACAAAAGTTTCACATTCTCTAATGGAGATGGTCCATTAAGACCTGCACTCATAAACAGACAAAGATGCAGATATCTGATTATCTTAAAAATAAATATTAAATATATATGTATATACAAATTCATTTTCATATATTTCATATTTTTTAAATTTTGTTTTATTGTTTTACCTCACTGAAGACTTTGGTGTTATATGGCAATAAAATATTTTTATATGATATAGCAACTTTTCGGTTTTCTCTTCTTTTTGAAGCTTGTTCATAAACATAATCGACAAGTGCTTTGAAACTAGGTAGAATAATCATTTTTTCTGATTCAGAATCTGATGATTCCTTAGAATCATCAACTTCCATTTGATTATTTAATGTATCAATTGATTGTAGTTGAGAATATTTTATATTGTTTAATTTATAAGTGCCATAAATATCTGTATAAATTTTTTCTTTGAGCAAACTGGAAAACAATTAACTTTATGTAAAATAATATAATATAATGTAAACTAATATAATTAAATAATTATTTTTCTTACTCATTGTGTAAACCCATCAACAACAAATATCTGGCAGCTACATTTTCAGGAGGAAAACAAGTCATTAGGTAAACTGTTGCAACAAATGAAGCATTGAAAGAAGAACCCTCAATGTGCTTTGCCAGTAAAGCAATTACTAAGTTTGTTTCCGCAGCAGATTCTGAATTACTTGTAGAAGAACTATCATAACGGAATAATGATGTTATTGCTATCAAAAGATCTCTAATTGAGCTTTGCAATGTTTCTGATTCCTAAACAAATAAAGACACATAAAATTGGTTTTCAAAACAAATAACTAAAACAGTCAAAAATATTGCAATCTTATATCTCTTGTATCTACTGCTGATAGTATATCGGTTGCGTAAGTCTAGTAAATAAAATAAATAGAAACAAAAAAATCATATGCCACCATTTATGATTCAAATGATTTATTATTATCACCTAAAAATTAGGTTGAAAAAGCAGTTAATGTAGCTTAAAAATTAATAAAATCGTTATACTTTAAATCGGCAAAATAATAAATAAAAAATAATTTCTTTTTTTTTCTAAATATATATTTATAAATGTCATACCTGTGTTATTTTATCGAACAAAACAACAACAAGATCCCTCCTTTGTAAAAATACTTCAGGGCATTTTGCAGGTATGATTGCTAAAGTCATATAAGCAGCATTTCTAACATCTTCCGGATATTCTTCTGAAGTTATTTTCAACAAACCATTAAACAAAATATTTATAACTGGTTGCAATTCTTCTTTAGAGCACCTGTAAATTATTTTAAAAATAATATTAGCAATGAATTATATAAAAATTATGTCTTATTAAATAGATAATCAAATAGACTTACTCATTTATCATCAATTTAGCAAAACTTAAAGTCATCTTTCGACATTTATCATTTGTATTCCCAAACAATCCCTCAAAAATTACCTGTAATAATCATTATATTGAGATCTCACATATAAAGATATGTTAACACATATATAATAACTAATGAAAAGCAAAATAATAACTAAGAAACTTACTAATCAAAATATAAAACTATCTTGTAAAAATGTTCATTTTCAACAATAAAATAAGCAAACCTTTAAGGCCAAAGTAGCATTCATCGCACCCCCTCTTACTTTATGTAAATACTGTAAAACCTTCATTTTAACTCTAGGATCAGCCGGTGATGTTTTTCTTTCTGCTAACTTATGAATGCTACCACTAAATAATACATATAGAGGTTTAACCATTGTGGAGTTCGTCCAGTCTAAACTTCTGTAAAATTCAAGTAAATTAAAACACATGCTTTTAATACTTAAAAAATTATAAGAATTAAACTTACGAAGTAATTTTTGCTAATTCTGATATAGCTGGGTTGACAACGCTAAATCTAGTGTCTGAAGAAGCAATAACTAATGGAAGTAGAGCATCTTCTGGTGATATTATACCACTTGACAAAAATGATGTTATACACTCTTTTAACTAAAACATTAATATATAAATTTTTTTACAAATTACTAGTTTGATCAAATATTATTATATATATTATAACATACATAATAAATGAAAAAAACTACAATTCAAAAAAGCTATTTTGTTACATATGAATTTATAACCAATTCTTTAATTAATTAAAAAGATGGATAAAAAGATAAAGATAACATAAATGAATACAGTAAAGTGAAATAAAATTACTCTTTGCAAATCCTCAGGTTTCACAGGCTCTAATGTAACTCTTTTAAAAGAATACATACTCATTGCAGGAGGTGGTGTGAAACCAGCAGTAGTAGCATCCTGGTTATAACTTAAATAAAAATTTCATTTCAAAAAGCAATAATATAATAACTCGATAATGTATATAAATTTAACTAACCCATAAGGAAGCAACAGAATATCACACACATAATTCAGGAATGCGCTCTTCAATTGCGGATATTCATCCAACCCTAAAGCATTTTCTTGATTAAATGTACCCTTATTCTTTCCTATGTCTGATAAAATTGGAAGAACTAATGGAATGATCCTAGAAATTATGATTAATGAAATTAATGCTATAATTCAGTATACTAATGATAATATACAAATTTATCATGATGCTAATGTTGATTCAAATTAATTATTATCACTTGAAAATTGATAAATAAGAAAAAAAAAGCAATAAGAGATTCAATAGATTCTGTACAAATGCTAAAATAATAAGTAAACCATTTTAACATTTTAGGAACTTATATCTTCGGCACTATCATTTTATAACAATGAACTAATTATATAATGACTGACTAATCTGAAGCATCATTTAAAAATCATTTTTGTCAACTAATTAAAAATATTCCTTACTTGTCATAATGCATCTCTGGTTTTCCTACGAGACATCTTAATAATAGAGGTGATAATTCAACTTGTTTATTTAGAGGTAATCTTGGATATCCTATTTTGATGTATATTATAGCAAAATTCTAAAAATAATAGAAATTATGTCAGAATAAAAAAAAACTATTAGAAACGATTATATATAAAATTTTGAGTAAAAAAATAATAAATAAGATATAAATCATATTATAAACTTTGATTGAGATTGAAATAATAAAATTTCCAACACTTACTATTAGAAAAGAATTGGCTTGTGGATCCTTATACAAATCTAATAACGGCTCAATAGGAACTTGAACTAAAGGTCTAGATTTAATACGTTTGTTAATGTGTGTCAAAACTTCCATGACCTATAATAATTTGATCATAAATTAAATTTTTTTAATCATATCATTTATGAAATTGCTGAATGCAGAACATACTCTGGAGCGAACATTTGATTCCGTTGATGATATTTTTGATAGCAGTAGTGGCAAGTATTTGAAAACAATTGTTTGAAGTTGTTCATCAGTATCAGCTGATCCCAGCCGTATTAATACTAGCTCGAGATTGACTGGAAAATATAGAATCGTTTCAAAATAATTCTAAATAACTATAATTATAAAAAAAATAAAGGATTTTTACCTATATCGTCAGTGGAGGACATTTTTAAGATTCACTTTTAAATCTTAAACCTAAAGTTATCTAGATTTCATATAAAATTTAGTAATATGCTGTTAGCAATTTGTTCTACTGTTGACGAGTTAATGACAATTAAAAAACATAACCTAACAAAATTTGTGTTCAAAACTTCAATATCATTGTACAACTTATTTTGTTTTGTAGATTGGTGTACTTGATTGACGCGGTAAAAAAGCGAAATGTTTGAATTTTTTCTTCCAATGTATTAAAATCCTATTTACATTGTTTATTAATCATATCTATGAAATTATTATGTAAGTTGCAAATGTATCAAATGCAGATAAAGTGAATGTATGAACTAGTTGAATATAAACGGTGTTAGTATCATAGATAAGTAAACATTTATTATATTAGATTATAGATTATTATATTTTATTTTCATTATTATATAGATTAGTATATTTGCTTGTAGCCCCATAAATTTATTTGTCTAAAAAATAGAATGTTTTAAAGAAATATCATTTTTATACAAATGATATTTCTTCAAAACATTCTATATAATAAATTGTTATAAGTTAATTCTTAATGGAACTATTTATAGAACAAATTACAATAAAAATAAACCAGATAAAATTGTCCAAATTTTATTAATCACAGAAAATCAATTTTGTACAATATTTCATATATATCTTGTAATTAAGTATTATTTAAATTTAAATTTTATTTTTTTAAACAATTTAATCATTTAGTTCTAATTTATATTGGTTCATATTACTTCCACAATAACTAATTCTTGTACTGTGTTAAATCTATTTTCATATAGTAAATTTATAAAACATGAAAGAAAAAAGACAAACACTGGAAACATAAAAATCACAGGTACAATTTGTAAATTGTGTATGGCTTGATATTTTCGTGGCGAGTTCCCAAGATTTAAATGTTCACATAATCTAGCAAATAAGTTTATAACTTCATTTTTACAAAGTAGTACATGCCATTTTTATACTTGAGATACACTAGTTTTTTTTAAAAAAAAAAACTTTTGTTGATTTATGAATTATTTCCATGAAAAATATGAAATTTGATAATTATGGATATTTATGAACTGTTTGAAAACTTCTGAGCAAAAACTATTCCCTTCTCGATTTCTTTCTTCAATTGGGGTAAAGCATCATCCAGCAATTTCTTTTCAGCGGTATCTAAAGCTGGCAGTCCCAAGTTTTTCTCCATGCCTTCTTTACCTAGAACAACAGGATTTGCAAAGTATTTTATGTCTGGCACCACATCCGAGTAAACATAGGCACATTCAGTAACATTTTGTTCCCCTTTCAAAGCTCTAGCCATCTTGAGAGCGAATCTTGTTGCAGCAAAGGCCATGGATAAAGTGGCTGATCCAGCACCCTCCTTAGCTTTCACTACCTGCATAGAAAAATTACAATCTTAGTCACAGTAGTAGTAGTAGTAGTAGCAAAGGACAATTGAGTTTTTTTTTTAAAACACTTAAATTACTTTAATATTTCACTCCATTTCAAACTCACAAATTCAGATCATACATCAGGACATCACTCGAAGTATTTCAATCATTTCACCCATAGCAATCCATATCCACTTAATAAAATATACCAAATTGTTAATAAGAAATATTCTGCAATGTAATGCATGTTACAAGATAATATGATAATCTTTTTTGTAACAAAAAAAAATCAAATACTAAATACTGTTAATTTTAATAAAATATAATTAGAATATTAGAATATTGAGTCTCATTAAAAGATTCACAAAATATCTGAGAACAATTCAATAGAATATCTTAAGTTCTATTTGTGGATCTTGCAATATAGGAAAGACTAAACATGCTAAACAAAAAAAAATAAAATTGATTATGAATTAAGACACTATTTACAAATAGAACTTACAAATCATTACAAGCACACATTTACACTAACACTACAACTAATTACTCGAAGCAAGATTCAGCCGACTTAGTTTTGCAACTCTGCTGACTTCCTAATATATGAGAAACACATTATTATAAATGTAAGCATAATAAATTATAATATATTAAATGCACATGCTATGATTATTATACCCATGCACACACAAGAAATATTGTGTGAAGAAATTATAACGTCAATAATAAATGAACTTTTCAAAAGGGAATGTTTATTATCCAGGATCTATAATTGAATAGATATTATTCAGCCATATAAAATTGTTAAAAAAATAAACTATACCAAATTCAACAATTAAAAATATTTAAAATATGAAAATATATAAAAGCAATATAAAATTTTCAATATTCAAAAAATATTGTTAGGATCGGAAAGACGATTATGAATTTAAAGCCAAATAATTAATTTTGACATTATGGATCTACAAGCAGTCCAATGTCTGTGGGTTTTTAGTCTCCTTGGGCTTCTCCACTTTACCCTTCTTGGATTTCTTATCTTTTTTGCATTTAGGTTTCTTTGGCTTTTTGCATTTAGGTTTCTTTGGCTTTTTGCATTTGGGTTTCTTAGATTTGCATATGCTTTTGCACTTTTTGTTGCCTTTACCTCCACTTCCACCACACTTCTTCTTTGGCTTCCTAACATAATCAACACCACGTTGAATACTCTTCTTCAACTGAGGCAGTGCTTTCTCCAGCATCTTTGTTTCAAATTTGTTCAATTTTGGTATACCACAACTCTTTTCGTAGCCACACTTTCCAAATACAACTGGACTTGAGAAATAATCAACACCTTTCATGCAGTTCGAACGCACATAAACACATTCAATGACATTCTTCTGACCCTTCATGCCACGTACAACTGCTAACATAACTCGCGCGGCAGCATATGCCATGGACAATTGTGCAGAGCCGAAGCCAACTTTGGCTTTCACCACCTGCACAAGGATAGGAAAAATGGAATTAAGGAATAGGATGGGGGAGTAGGAAAAATAAATAAAATGATACAGCAAGCAATAACATTTTTTCTGCTATGCGTGTTAAGTTTTGCAGACAGCCTGTTATTACAGTATTCAATAGATTTCCCTTTGTGAAATCAAACCAATTATTTCATAATATACTGCACTTATAAAAAATAATCATTCAAATGTTGACATGCCAATAATCAAACAACAATAAACTATTTTAATCATTCATGACTTAAATTTATAGATTTATCACAAGCAGCAAAATAAAATACTTGTATCAAAATATTACCTCTGTTCCTGCTTCTTGCACTCGTTTACAGAATTCAGCTGCTTGTTTATCAGACATCTTTACTGGTGGTCTGCAATGTGACAGCAAAGGTATAATTGTTGCACCAGCATGTCCACCAATGACAGGAATGTCTACATCCATTGGATCCCAATCATTCATTTCAGCAATGAAAGTATTGGCACGGCATAAATCGAGAGTGGTGATTCCAAATATTTTGCGAGGATCAAACTTCTTGTGCTGTAATCACAAATCATTATTTAAATCAAACAATGTTTTTATTGCTACTAAATAATTCATATGTGAAAAATAACAAATTTCTTACTTTCATCATAATTTCACAAGCAATTGGAACTACGGAGTTCACTGGATTAGTTATGATACCAATGATAGCTTTGGGGCATGTATTGGCACAAGCTTCAATTAATTCAGCAACAATTGAAGCATTGATGTCAAACAAATCATCACGAGTCATACCAGGTTTACGAGGGCTGCCTGCTGGTATGACGACTACATCCACTCCTGCAAGTTCAAGTAAAATTATAAGTTATTATTTTAAGTCTACAAAAGTAACTAATTTTCTCAAACTTCACCTTCTAAAGCCTTGCACAAAAACTTCTTGCCATTGTAACCACATACTTTGGCAGGTGTTTCAATGTGACTTAAGTCAGCTGCCACACCAATCGTTCCAAGGATATCATACAAATTCAGGCGACTGATCAAAGGGGACTGTTTCAATAAAAGACTAAGGGGTTGCCCAATTCCACCAGCGGCTCCCAAAACCGCAACCTTGACATTATTCTGAAAAAAAAAAAAAAAACAAATACAGACAAATTCAAATTATACTTAATAAACTTCTAAAAATAAACGTATCTATTGTTTACTAAATTTGATTTATCTATAATGCAACTTTGAACTTGCAGATTGCTATTGATAAAATTGATAAACAAGGTTCAAACTCCAATTTAGCAAACAAGTAACCTCAAAATACATATTATATAACATATTAAATTCATTATTAATGGACTGAATAAAATTGACTTAAACTACGAGAAAACGTAATCGCAACAAAAACTATTACTAACAGCAGACACTAACCTTGTTTGTAGTCGAAAACGCTCTAGTAGATCCATTTAAAAGAGGTTTTAGAATCCGAGATAACATTTTGAAATTTTTATTGATTTTGTTCTAAAAAATATTTTTGTATGGTTGTTCGTCTCGATCGTCTTTCCGATCCTTGATTTTAGCCTACCCAGATGATGGAATATCGGCCAACAATCCTAAATAACCTAATCTAGCACTCGGGAACGACAAACGCTGACAAGTGCCAGTCACACTTTGCCTACTCTGCCTGTGTCTACTTTGTCAAGTGACAAGTGCCAACCCGACTGACAGTCAGCAAGTCAGCAACTCAGCAATTGCACAATGGGAGTGTTGCCTGATTCAGGCGCTTCAGGCCATTGCAATTTGCAATGGATCATCAAATATCGAACACGAACATTTGCTAGGGGTCAAAAACATTTTAAACCAACCAACCTCCTATATATTATATTTGAATTTATCTACCTCTATATATCTTATGGTAATGTCCTTGTATTTCAGGTATGATTACAATACAAATATTAAGCAAATTGCTAAATCTCTTTGTTATAAACAGAAAAAAATAAAAATATATAATTATGCAAAAATAAATTATACCAATCGATCACTAAAATTTGAAATTTGCATACAAACAATATAGAATTGAGAACTAAAAAAATTACGCAAACGCAAAATAAAAAAATAAAAATTTGCAAGTTTTTAAATAATTCATTTCAAATTTCCTGTACATGAGTACTTACATATCCTTAAACTAGTAAAAAAAAATTTAAACTTCGTTCAATATATATTGCATAAGAAATGATACAAATCATCATAAGCATCAAATCCAAAACTTAGTGTAAAAAAACGAGTGCGCGTAAGGTTCACACGCGATTGGAGTAAAACTGATTTGCTACTGTGCAAAATAGCAAATTAAAGTTAAGTAAAAATAAATACATCATATAACAATTTTGAATAATGTTTATTAGTAATATGGTAACACTCGTGATGCACACATTTATTAGTGTCAACCGTTATACACATTTATATAATGATAAATTATAAATTATATATTTATAATAGCATTAAAAATATGTATAATATTTAAAAACAATAATATAATTAAAGTCATACTTTAAATATGACATGATCGTATTTCATTGTAATTAGCATTTAGAAATGACCCTTTATTAGAGAAATGAAGTAATTGCTGATAAATAAATTTTATAATATTCGTTCAAAGTGGATTATGTTAAACTACGCCTAAACAAATATTGTTTTCGCAACTTCACTCATCACGTAATTGTGTTTGAAAAACTTCATGTAATTAAAATTAACGTACATTTATTGACTGCTTGTATTTTTTTTACTTTTTCGCTGAATATATTAGGTTGTCAAATATCTCCCTTCCGCTTTTTTGCTCTTGGTTTATAATACAACCTAATCTCATTCTTTGAACAGCTGTAATATCTGTCTTGCCTAAAAATATTTTCCATTTTAATAACTTTAAAAGATTTATAGAAACTACAAATAATATAGAAATAATTTCTAATAAACTTACGTTTAGTACACGACACAAATGTTTAATTTGTTTTATTATTTTCAAAAACAGGGTAAAATATTCTTCCGATTCAGGCATTTTTCATTGAATCAAGATTTGTACTACGATGTAAGTTTAATATGTTTATTTATCTATGCCGATTTCCGGGTTGATATCGGTACGCATACCTACAACGTTGATGCCGGTACGCATACAACGACAGATCTCTTTTCACATACTTGACGACTAATCACAATCGACCTGTATTGAAATGATTTCATCGAGAGCGAATCACGTACAGTTCGGGCGTAACGCTATTTCCGTTGCATTTGTACGGATTTACACCCTAGTCGCGCCTAAAGAAGTTTTACTTCAAAAATTCTGCTTTGCCAAAATTTGTAGTTTGAGCCTATTTAGTGCCATACATATTTTACCAATATTTGCCAAAAATGCCAGTAAAAAGTACATATTTATCACATATGAACTGGAATAATATTTACCATTTCTGTTACATTACACCGATATTCATAATTTTTTCAACGTTCTCTTCAGAATATTTTATACTATGATAATAAAAACACAGAAATTGAATACTACATATTCATTGACAAAAAAAATACAGAAAGTATATGAAAAATGAAAAAAATATATTTGCAAACGTGCCAAAAGTGAACTATCAATGGATAAGAAAAAAAGGACATTTTCCGGATCTAACGTTAGAAGCGCGACAGCGCTCGGTAGCACTGAATGGGTGGATTTACAGTTTTCGACTTCAACCTCTGTGTTTAGTACGTAGCACTAAAACCGCAGGGTTTGATTTTTCCAAAATTGATGGGTTCTTCAAACTATTCATAAGAATCGAGTAATCGAATGTTTTTTCAACCATCTAAATGCGTTGATCCATTCTTTGTAGAACATGGTAGAAAAGTTATATACAAACAATACCTTACAAAGTTGAAATGATAGAATTTGAAATATTTATTTGAGTTGATTTCATATCTTTTACTTCAGGTGGAGAAATGAATATTAATTTACGGATGCAAGATTTTGAAATATTGAATTCACAACGATCCCAAATAACAACCGAATCAACATACAAATACAATAAGGAGAGCTTTATAATATTTTGTCATGATATTATAAGGATTATTATAAGCTTGATATTATGTGTTTATTTTAGGCTTCTTCAAATTATGGAATATTTTAATTTTTTTCGCATAATTTCTCATAATATTTAAGACCTTTTCTGTAAACAAGAAGCAGTATCAAAGACAAAGAAAAAATTGTACGTGTATGCATAATAAGATACTTATGTAGAATCTATATCAAGAGAACACAATTAATACTAAATTATGATAGTATAACGAATGTAATATGAAAGAAATTGTTAAAATTTCAAATAATTACAGACTGTAATTCCAATTTATTTTTTTATTTCGATACTGAGACATGGATTATAAAGTCGAAGAAATTTAGAACATGATTATTATCACCTTGATAGATAAAGAATTTGAAAAGTCAACATTTCATAATTTTGATAATGTTGATTTTTCTCTATTACATTTTAGATAATTAGAATGTCTTCTAACTTATTAAGTCGATTAACAAGAGCATCAACCTGTTGAGATAGAAGCATGGTGTCGTTGACACGATTATAGATAAACATTTAAATGTGGTGTCCGAGATAAAATATCTCAATGTATTTATTTTTACTGACTAATTGGCATTTCGTTGAGCAAAAAAAAAAAAATAAAACGTAATTCTCATAATAATTTATTTAAATTAAATAACATATTAAAAAATTAAACTTCTTTTAAAATTGTAATGATCATGTAAATAAAATAAAATAGTGTTATGTCTGGATCCTACCTCTATACGGATCAGAGACATGGAATCGGAGAAAGGCCGACAAAAACTTTCTGGAGAGTTTTGAAATGAGGTGCTGGAGACGTATGGAGAAGATAAAATTGACAGATAAACTAACAAATGAAGAAGTCCTGAGAAAAGTGGGCGAAGAAGAAACTCTACTGAGGACGATCATTAAAAGGAAAGGAAATTGAATTGGACCCATTCTGCAAAAAGGATGCCTTCTACATGATGTCGTCGGAGGTAAAATAAAAGGACTGAAAGGAATAGGAAGAAAAAAATTCAGATGGTTGAAGAGTTGAAGACTTTTGCAAGAAGAGAATATACAGGGAACTGAAAGCCGAAGCACAAGACCAGGAAGCATTGAAGCAGAAGTTTGGATTGATTTGAGATTGCAAAAAGTGATTAATAGTACCTAATGGTAATAATAAACACGGGAGGGAAGGGGAATCATAAATTTGTGGTGCTCTCAAAACATGAACCTGCCTTCGGGCATATTACTATTTCTTATCAATATCATGCAAAATGCATTGTTGTAAAACATGTTTCATCTTAAGCTATGATCATGTTACAAACAACAGGATCTCTTTTGAAAGATAAATCTAAGGATCCCAATATAGAGAATTCGAAAAAACATTATATTGAAATAAACATTTTATTCAAATTAACATTATATTTAAATTCATTTCTTTGTAATATGAAATTTAATCACTTTTGGAAACTAACTTAATGATTTGTGATTCCGTATCTGGTATTGGACAAAAGTAAATCATTTTTATCATCATAGTTAGTATTATTATTATTTATCATTTTCAATTACTTCTATCATCACAATGTTTAATATTAATTTTGTTATTATTATTATTGTATTTACCTATTAATAAAATTAAATATTGTTAATAATATTTGAATTCATATTTTCATTACAATTATTATTGTTTTTAAAGATTTTAAAACTTTTCTTGCATGTTAAATATTATATTGTTACCATTTGTTTTAATAACATTTGAAGATTGAATTAAAAAAATTGTGCCTCTATTCGATAATAAATCTTATAAGTGTATCGTAAACTAACAAATTTTCAAAATGTACAGTTATCCTTTTGTTTTATACCAATTAATTAACTATTTGAATTGATAAACTTATTTAACTATTTTACCTTAACATTTACCTTATTTATCTCCTATACCTGTATTTCACTGATGTTCACTTATAATCAAAAAAAATATCTTGACGAGAAAATTGAATTTAATTTTAACTTCGTTTTTAACACTATTCTGCTTACGATTACCTTCGAAATGTTATGCACATGCATACGAAATTAAATTTTTTCTCACAAATAGATATAACGAAATTATTCCATCGCAAACATGACCCTTATGCATGTTCCAAAATGTTTAAATTTGAATGATCAATTGAATCAGAAAAGAAATTTTAAGGAAATTTACTAACTAATTTACATAACGATGTTATTGGATTCGATTTAGTAGGATATTAAGTATGTTTACGTAGTAGACTCTAAATTGAGATACAAATTCATTATTCAACATTTTGTCTTTGTGTATTTCACATTTCTATAAAACGTTTGCAGGTACAATATAATGTCGCAATTGATTATGATTCTCTATGCAATTTTATATTAAATATTATTTATTAAAAATTTTCAGTATGAGTTTATGCAAATGATTAGTAAATAATTCATATAAAAATGTCACGATATAGAAGAATATATAATTAAGGTGAATGCAATTGACCTTGTCGATTGTTTATTCGATTGTTCTAAACGATTTTTTCTACATTTTGCTATCGAGTTTGACCTCTTCGATTGTTTGGCGCAAACTTATAATACCGATTATGTTACCGAAGACTGTCTATAAATCGTTGATTTTTATATACT